CAGGGCTTCTTCCCACTCTCTCCATAAGGGTTGCACCCCTCAGCCAGAGCCAAGACATCCCAAGTCATCTCAAGATACTTGTGTCAACTGCCAGCTCTGCATTCCACTGCCCAAGCTCCTCTGCATCTCCCTGGCAAGGACTGCAGGCAGTGGTGCTGAGGCTGCCACGCAGCACGGCAGGAACCAGGACAACAGCACAGCTCACATGTCCCATGTGTCACTTCTTTGGCAGGCTGAGAGCTACCAGGCAACTGTCCACCATCCCTGCTGGCCCACGGGCTACCACAAGAGCCTGTTGCTGAGCAGCATCTACGACAGCCCCTGCATGGAGAAGGAACAGCCCACCCTTGCCCTCAACACCACCGTCACTGTGGTCGGCACTGGGAACTGGAGCCTCTGTGCTCTGCACGTCAGCAGCCTCTTCGACTTCACCACCTGCTCCTTCTCCCACTGCTCCTTCGATGGCGTTTTCCAGCCGGAGGTTTCAGGAAACTTCATCGTAAGTCCTGGCATGATCCAGGGTAGTGGCCTGGCTTCTGGGTGGGCAGATGTCCCCAGCCCCCTGGCTTTGTGCATCAGCAAATCCAGCCCCCCAGCTCTGCAAAGGCGGTTGCATACGCCCATCACACCAGTCAGAGCGGCTGTTTGTGGTGAGAGGGTTTGCTCCCAGCCGGTCCCACAGCCGCCTCCTTTCTTCCCTCAGGCCTTCTCTGCCTTCTTCTACACGGTTGACTTCATCCAGACAGTGATGGGGAGACCTGTGCACTTGCCCAGTGACCTGAAGGATGCTGCCCAGGCCATCTGTGCCACCAGCTGGAGTGAGGTGGGCTCCTTGGGCTCGGTGGGGAGAAGAGGCCTGCTTCATGTGGGGCATCACCTGGGCTCTGAGAGCAGCCCTTGGAAGGGGGTAGTTGTCCTGGCACCCATGGAGTAGGAGGAGGGTGGGTGACAGCTCCCAACACGGGACCAGGAGAGGCTCAGGTGGGTGTGGGCAGTGCCTTGGCCAGCAAGATGTAACCACCCAGAGCTTCAGGCCACAGAAACAAAGCCTGGGTCCTGTTGGCTTGACCCCTTTTCTCTGTCCCTCCATGCATCCCACCCAGCTGCTCCAGAAAGCCCCTAAACTGGAGAAGAGACTGGCGGATTACTGCGCTGTCAGCATTTTCGTCTATTTGCTCACCACCAAAGGCTACAACTTCAACAACCATTCCTTCCCCAACATTGCCTTCCAGAAGAAGGTGGGTAACACCAGAACACTCATGCCACGGTAGCTGTTTGGAGTTAGGCTAAAAAGCCCTGCAGGAGAGATGATCCCACACCAAGAAAGCCAAGGAATGTGAGGGGAGATCTCGGGGAACGGGCAGGATGGGACTCCCAGTTTTTGGGTGGATCTTCTGGGAGATGGACAAAATTGAGCTGAGCTGACTGTAGGGTAGTCATGGAGTCGGGTCCTCCAGTCCTTCCTCGGCCCTCAAGTCGCCAGCCATCTCAAACACCCCTTTGCTCAGGGTTGTTGGGAAGTTATCTCAGGGCAGGATCCCACCGTTGCCAAGTGCCCTCACCTGCATGAGCCATGGAATGGGCAGTGAGATCAGGACTGGCCCAAGCAGACGAGATCCTGCTCCCATCAGCTGAGCCCAGCTCAGCATGGTCACTGCTTCGTCCCTGGGCTGGCAGGACCTGTGGGTGAGCGAGGGCTCAGGGTGCTGTAGGCTCCCCCACACCCCTCTCTTCCATTGGACTGACCCTCAGGTGGTCCCTGGAAGGTCTCTTGATGCCTGTGGAGCTGGGTTGATGTTGGGGGAGGTGTGTGGTGACCAGGCCATGCTGTTTCCACAGGCAGGAGAAACCTCCATTGGCTGGGCCCTGGGCTACATGCTGAACCTCACCAACATGATCCCGGCGGAGAAGCCCTCTTCCCACAAAAGCATGCTGTACAACTACTGGGTCGTCCTCATCCTGCTCTTTGTGGTCACCACCCTGACGTCTCTGGTAACTGCTGTCTGCCTGCTCCGGCGAAGCAAGTCCAGTGCAATCTAATGGTGGGGACAGGATGGGCCTTGGCTGCCTGACCCAGCATCATCCTTGCTGGCGTCTCCATGGCCTGACACTTGGGATGCGGCAAGTGCTCAGAGATGTCCTCCTCCAATCCTTGACACTGCCTGTCCCAGAAGGAAAGCTGTCCCTTTTTGCCCTCCCCTCGCTTTCAAGCAGCAGCAAGGGGCGGTGGGGGGAAGGGAATGGGGATGGGACACAAACACACACAAGAGGACCACTGGCCCTGCAGGAGAATGGCTTAAGAATTTCCCAGTGCTACTCAGGGATGGACCCCGGAACAGGCTCAGGATTTGGATATTCAGACCTGGGGCATCTTTCTGCCACCAGACCTAGACTGGGCCAGTAAATCCAGACAACACCGGGATTTATTCTCATGTACATGAGGAGGGTGGGGAGCATTACTTATACTAATCCTTAGAGCTGACCTCTTTAACCTGTCCCTGGGGCATCAGACCTGCCTTCTTGGGGAGCTCTGGGGGTCGCCCAGAGCCCATGCTGTTTTTCTGGCCAATGCACAAACCCCACTGATCTTCCTGATGGCCAGATTTGACCTGGACTTCCACTGGCCTCAGCACAGGGGCTTTAGGTAGGGGCTGAGCAACAACCAGATGAGGGGAGCAGGCAGCTTCCCAGGTCCCGCTTCAGCAAGCAGACACAGTGCTTTACCCATTCCTGTGGTCCAGACTCGCCTTCGCTACAGCCAGAGCCTCCTCCCTCCCCCCAGCAATGGCACAAAAAGTGCCCATGGCTCCCTGGTGCGGCCAGCACAGAGGTGATGGGCCCGCTGTGGGAGTGGGGCTTTGCACTGCTTGAAGGTGGGAGCCCTGCATCACCCCATGCCAGGCAGCTGGGAGGATGTGCCTCCATTTCCGATTGAGTAAGAACAGGGACACGCTGATGTGCAGAAGGTTTGGTTTTGGTCAGCCGGAGTTTTTATAATCAGAATAAACCTTTGTAACCACTGCTCTGGCTCTGTGGCTCTTGATCAGCAGCAGTAGGCTGATCAAACCTGGCTGTCCCGCATACATACGGGGTCTACACGGACACAGCTGCGGGTCAGCTGCAGGCAGAGACCCTCTGCCTGAGGGCCACAGTCCCTTGCAGCCTGCCCAGTGCTGAGACACCATCATGGCTTCACATGCTCTACCAGCCTGGAGAAGACCCCAAGGGGGACCAAGGTGGGCTTGAAACCTCCCTCCAGACTCGAACCCACCTGGAGGTAGAAAAGCTTTAACCAGCCATGGTTGCAAAGTTGCAGTTTCCCAAGCACTAGCGGTCCCATCACCTCGAGGGCATCAGCAGGCAGCCCTCAAGCTGACTGCCCTGTGCATTCCCTGCTGCGATCGTGACCACAGCCTCCACGCGAGGAAAACACATCAGGAGTCGCTGCTCCAGGGGACAGGGTCTGGTGGGAGGGCAGGAGAGCAGCAGGGTTGGCAGGTTGTTCATGCAGCTGCTGGCAGCTCAGAGCCACCACAGCCTGCATCGAGAG